CCACATTATATGCACAAGCACATTGGCTTGGCAGCTGTTGTTATAGATGAACTTAAAGAGATTAGCTCTAATAGAATTTATGACATTCTCCGGAATCTTGATAAAAGTGAATTGGCTTATCGGAAACGTTAACAATTTCCATTGAATTTATAATTTTACTAATAGGATTCATTTTAAACACATTCGCATGCGACCGTGCGTATTGTGCGCATATAATTTATAATATTTTAATAGGATTTAATAAGAGAAATATTTCGTATAGTTGCACGAAAGGATGGAAACTATTTACAATTTGCATATAAAATGCATATATTTTGCTCAAGCTTTCGAAGCTTAAATAAATTTGGTAAATAAGTGTATAACAGTAAATTTATTGGTAATAAGTTGAGCAGGTTTTTTTTTGTGTAAGCAAAGTATTGTAAAAGAATGTGAATTATTTGCTTGATTATTTACTGCATTTACCATACTTTGTTTGAAGATCTTAGAAGCTTGTGGCATGGCTGTCTTATATTATATAAAGTAAATGAAAACGCTTACATACAAATTTTTTAATGTTTAAACATAAGTTTTTTTAAAATTAAGCTTCTTGTAGCATATTTGATACCTATATAAAATTCTAGGCTGCAAGCTTGATTCTATATTATCACAATTCTTTTTAAAATTTAAACCTTGTAATTACTTTTGAAGTGTATTTACTTTTACTAAATTATTAGAAAAAATGATAAGGTAGAAAATTCCAACTAACCAATATTTAGAAAAGCGCTAAAAAAGCCAATTTTGGCAATTCCAAAAAAAACTGCTGTATCAATTGTTTAAAAATTTTAACCGTATATTTATACACAGCAAAACCTTTTAAAGAAAGCATCAAGTATTTTTCGAAGTACCTGCAATCACCGACGTCGCTAAAAATTAAAGTTCCTTAACTGCTAAAGGATCCCAGCCAAAAGATAAAATCTAAAAAAAATCTCTACTTGAAATTATTGTCCGTACAATGATCTACGGTCGAAAAAATTCTAAAATTAACAACGTGGCGGCATTTATTAAAAATAAAGTTGCATTTCGCCGAAATTTATGTTCGTTTTTGCTTGTTGAAATTTAATTCGGATTATTTGCCCGTAAGTAAACACTCTATTTAAAATATTTAGAAGGCTGTAACTCAAAGCAATTTGAGACGTTGATATAAAATTTTAAAGTTATAACCTATCTATTTATATTGCAAGGCATAAAATATCGATTTTCATTCAACTTTACACTTGGTGTGGTCCTTAAACAAGTTAAAAATAAAAAATGGCAAATAATTATACAGAAAAAAATTTTGCAAATTTTTTAGCATTTTATTTTATACTGAAGGAATGCTATATAACCTCTGAATTGTTATTTGGAAAAGCAGATAATTTTTCTTTTTAATTGTTTTCAAAAAAGTCCAATTGTGTCTTTGTTGCAAAGTTATTGAACTCCGGAAATTTAAAATCGAAAAAACAAAATAATGCTTCATGTTGCTATGTCATTATACTGCTTTCCTTGTCAAAATGCCTTGAATCTGTAGTTTTTTCAATTTAGTTTATATCAATGCGCCTAAATGTAGGCAACCTTTAAGCATTTTAAGAACACTCAACATCAATTTCGTCAACTTTTTAGTATAATTTTATAAAATAAAAAAACAAATACTTTAACATATGTTATAGGTTTTCACCAAAACCTAGATTTTATGTATAGTGGTTTGTTGATAACCAAACTGTGTATTATACTCGTATGTGGCCGTAGCAATATGTTTCGATAACTGGAATCGATTTAAGTTATTACGAACAGTTTATATAATGTTAAAATAAAAAAAAACTAATGCTTTATTCAGAAGCACTCACTCAAGACTCGAATTGGCGTTTTATCAAAATTCGACTTTTATAAAAAGTAAAAAAAAAACAATATTATACTAAAATATTATATAAATATTAATTTTATATTTTATAATTTATAATTTTATAATTTATTATTTTATAATTTATAATTTTATAATTTATAATTTTATAATTTATAGTTTATAATTTTATAATTTTTTATTTTATAATTTATAATTTATAACTTATGATTTATAATTTATAATTTTACAATAACTAAAAGCAGTTCTGTAGATTTTCGAAATTGCTTTTCTTTATTCTAATTAAATTTATGGTATTCCTTGCGTTTTCTTTTGATGTAATTATTGCCTATTCAGAATTTAAAAATTTAATATTTACTAGTTTTCATATGCACAATTATATGAATGGTTATAATATATATTGTTATATACATATATACAGATTTCAATCAGTCCGGCTCATAACTACACACGTTTAACATTTACAAACTATCGAATGGTGTGGCATAATCACAGATGCTAACACCAGCAACAAGTGATTCAATCATGCAATAGGGTTTACTGCTTATTCGACAGCCTGTTACGTTGCAAACAAGTGTCACTCTTACGTCGTGGCGCACCGGAGTTTCAATAGACTTGCTAGTTGAGGCGGTTTAAGTGAATACCAGCACATATATGTATGAGAGCTACAAATACATATGCAATGGAATGTAGGTGTTGAGGTACACATATGTTTAAATGCCTGCAAGTGTGTGAGTGTGTATGTGCATGCTTGCTGCCATAAGCCATTTATGATATTTTTCTCGAAATCCATACACGAATTAATTACGTACGAGCATTATTATTTGTGAAATGTGCCTTCGAGCCTCATAAATAATCAGACTGTAGCTTGTAGATTTGCGCATAATCTATAAAATATGCACTCCATGTTGCCAACGAGATGGCAGCAGCAGGAAGGAAGCAGGTGACTGTGTGTCTGTGTTTGTTTGAGTATTGTGTATTGCAATGTTGAAGTAAATCACAAAATTAATATATTCATGGTTGCAATATCTGATGGAACATAATTAGATGACATAGCAACAATACTTATGTTGCATAACGGCAGCAAGTGAATTGCTTTGAGGTTATAACGCTTGGCAATGCCTGCTTTACTGCTATTCGTTGTTGGCTACACATTTTATGTTAAGATAAGATATGCGCATAGTCATTACATGCATGTATGTGTTTTCGTGTATGTGTGTGTGTGTGCGCATACACACATATGCGTGGTGACAATGGCGCTGATAGACACGTTGCTCCTGGCATTAACAACGATTCGACTTGTCATGTTAGGTGTGAAGTGCTTGGTCACATATGTGTATGTTTATATGTGTCTATTTACTTGTATTTTCTAGTTAAGCTTGGTATAATTGTACTTGTCTTGGGTATAAGTATATACGAAGCAGAGATATTTAGCTTGTTGTAGTGCTAATTCCTTTGAGGCGATACGCAAGCAGCTTGACACACTTCTATGTTTGTACTCGTATGTACGTATACATTGTTTGGCTGTGAAGATTATATAAGCATTCAAACATAACGGTTTCTGTGTAAAAAGCTAATATTAATAGCGTTCTTAAAGAATTCAGGCGCTTTTTTAGCTGTCACTTAGAGCAGCTGTGCGTCACTTTCGTGTATACATGTGTGTGTTTGTGTAACTCATTTGCGCAAATAATAATAGACTGATCTAGTTCATAAATATTTACGAAGTTCTCATTAGATTTTTTCATGTTACTTATTTTTTATTACATTTCCTGACCACTCAAGTTTCTTTCTTCCTCCCTAATAGTGAACATACTTACTGTTTTCATAAGCGTACACAAGGCGGAAGTGTCAGCTGTTGTCATTTGTGGTTTGATAAATTGCTTTGTGGTAATTATGCAGATACTACGTAATTTTAATTTCCGTTCCGCTTAAAGTAATAGAGAGTTTCATCATTTCTAGTTTCAGAAATAAAACTTTTAGAAATATTGTAACTTTATTTTGTCCGTAAATTGCCTCCATTAATGTAATAAACTTAAGTTAATTTCGGAACTTTTCGGAACGAAAATAGTGAATAAAAATTTAGCAAAACAAAAAAACGTTAACTTAGGTTGCAGCGCAATTATAATACCCTTCACAAGTACATTGGTTCAAACATAAAAACGAGCTTTATTTTAATTTTGATCGGCCAGTTTGTATGGCAGCTATATGCTATAGTGGTCCGATCTAAGCTATTTGACTGCACCGCTGTGTTGGACAATAATCTATGGCAAATTTCGTGAAGATATCTCATCAACTAAAAAAGTTTTCCCAACAAGAACTCGATCTCGATCGACGAGTTTGTATGGCAGGTATATGCTACAGGACTCCAATATCGGCGATTTCGACAAATAAAACTTCTTGTGAAGAAAAGCACATGTGTAAAGTTTCATATTACTTCAGATCGAAATCTCATAAACTGAGAAACGAATTCGCGTATATATAGGCAGATAGACTGACATAACCAAATTGACTCAGCTCTTCACGCTGATCATTTATATAACAGGTGATTCAAGTTATATATATTTTATAGGGTATCCAACATTTTCTTTTGGGTGTAACAAACTTGGTGGCAAGTTTAACATATCCGGTTGAAGATATACAAACTTAGTTCATTCTGAAATAAATTTCCAAAATGTAGTAAATTTAAGGTAATTTTAAAAGTCCTCTACAAAGATATTAAAACTTAAAATAAATATGTATAATTTTGAATTTTTTGCATTGGAGGCAAATTACAGATATGTCCTCTTAAACATTCTACTTACACACACAAACCCACATATAAATATAAAATACATATACGTATCCACACACAAATTCATAAATATTACAAAGCAAATTATGCACAACTATAACAACAATACAGTAACCGAAATCTTCGTAAATATAATATTTAAAGTGAAATTAAAATTAAATCTAACGCAGATCACTGCTGTGGCCTCATTGTGCAAGCCAGTGCGTATAAGCAATTACTTCTGTGATTTTCAAAGCAGCCGCAATTAAAATATCACAAATTTCTGTATAAGATTGTATTATTACCGTTATATTATTAATTTTTTGCATTTCTTGTTTTGCTTTCCATTTGCAGTGTTGGCGTCAAGTAATTTGATGAGCAAGCATGAGCCGATGTTTATTTCACGTTCAGAGACATTCAAATTCGTTGCTGGGGACACAATAAGATTACCATGTGAAGTTGCCAATACAGGTGGGTTTTATCAATATATCGTAGAATTTTAAGAAATATGCTTTATAATACAATATGAGAATTATTAAACGATTTACTTCTTCGATTTGTTCATTTAGTAAGAAATCAGCACTCGTTATATCAATTTCAGATACAAATATTTACTTTATGAGTAGTATTCACCAGAATTTCATTTACAGAGCTTTTTTCAGTTTTTTCACATAAGATGCTCCATTCTTCAATGATCTGCAGCATAGCAAATCCTTCCTTAAATATTACTTTAGTTCGAGTCGTTGGAATTGCTCCCAAAAATTACTGGGATCATTTCTAATTGCAATTGACACTATATATTTGATTATCACAACCTATTATTTTAAAATAAAAGCCATTTTTTGATAAACCCAAGAATAGTTGTGTTTGCTTTTGATACTTTTTATTAAACAACCCCCATAGTGTAGTTGTGACGGCAATTCAACTAATTTTTGGGCAGTGTTTTTAAGTGTTCTCCTCTATAAGAGAGCACAATTGCGCTCCTTACTCTCATTATAATCTTACTTTAATGAGTTCCCACGATACCACTCGCCTATATTTCTTTTCTAATAAGTGGTAAGCTTCATCCAAATTCGTCTACTATATATCTCTTACAAACTTATCAAGTTCGCCCGCTTTTTCGATACTCTCAAGATGCTTATTGCCTGGAGCATTTATTTACGAACAAGACATATTCCCTTAGTTGTTCTGTGTGCATCAAGAGTTCAGACTGCAATTCATTTGTTATTCTTATTGATAACACTATATGACAAAAACAATTTTTTTATGGGTATTGGGGCAGATCATTTTTTTTTTTGGAAAAAATTTTTTGATTGAAGTCTATATCGAATTTTTGCCTACTAATTTCGAAATTGAGCCTATTGAAAACATCAATATTAGTTATCTACTTTTCCTCTTACTTTAGTGGTGTATAATATTTTCTTGTCAGGCTTATATAACAGTTGTAATATGGGCTCAAAGTCAGATCTACGAAAAAAAAAAAAAATATTTTTTATAAAAACTAACCCGACTTCGAAACCTGGTAGCATCTGTCATATAAGCTTATTGAAATAACAGAAAATGTGAATAAAATACTTTTTTTTTAATATTTTAGGAACTTACGTACTGCAACTTATAATAGAGTTTTAATAAGCGCAATTTTGAACTTCGAAAAATTACTGTTTTTGCTTATGTCTCAATCTCACAAAAAATTTGTTTTAATCTTATACCCAGCCGAGTGTTCATGCTCCGCTCCACAATTAACATCATAGGAACTTTTGTGAATGCATGAATGTACTACGCAATTTCGAACAGAAAGAAATTTACAGACCCTGCCATTTCACTTGGTACATACATATATACCACTAACCCCAAACGCCGCATCTTGACTAACATATGTTTGCGGAGCGTGAACTTCAAATTCACTGCTTACGGCTATGGAGTAAATATGAGGAATAAAGTAAATTAGATATCCAGAGAAAAGTGCACACAAAAGTATGTCGATGTGTGAGTGTATGTGTGCACATACACCGATAAAGCTCGTGTAGCTGCTTAAGTACGGCAACGCTGGTTAACTATAAATATGAGCATCATTAGCATTTGCAAGGGCGCCTTTATTTTAATACGGCATTTTGGTGCGTGTGTGTGTAGGTGCGCTCTAGTGGCTGGCATTGTACCGTAACCAGAGGACAAGACGTGAAGCACATGATTGATGTGAACGGCAAGGTAAAGAACGCCTGAAAAGCTTTTCGCTTAGTTATATTGTTACTGGATTTACTATGTACTTATGTAAGTATTTGCGTGTGTGTTGTGTGTAAAAATAGCGTAAAATTGCTTGTTAAAAGATAATATGCGTTTCCACTTTATATTAACAATGTGGCGGTAAGCATTTTTATTTCATCTTCGTTAGCTGCAAGTCAAAGTCAAATTTACAAAAGTGAAGAGAAAAGGCATTTTGGCATATTTAACGCCTCTTATTACGAAAGAAGATTACATTTTGGTTTATGAAAGCGTTTTTTAATTTTATGTTTTTCGGTTTTTATTATCGCTGCTTATTTTTATGATGAGTACAGGCACGTCGTTTCTGGCGCTAACTTCATTATTTTAGCTTGCTTATTATGCGCACATACACATATAAAATGGAAATTAAGAACCAACTCTGAGCCATAAATACACGCCTACCGAACAGCGGTTAAACTGCCACACTGTCGTTTACACGGCAAGCCGTGACGCACTTCCAAGCTGGCAGAGTTCTCATAGTGCCACATCGTTATGCGTCCTTACAGGCAGAAAATAATTGAAAGCGTTTTTAGAGCACCTTTCGAAAACAATAATGCGCCGAAACTGAGTTACCAAAACACAACAACAACAAAAAATACTCATAAATACTGCAAATACGTTTTGGAAATATAATATACAAGTATATGCAGCGAAATGAGCTTTTCGATTCGATGGCCGCTGACAGTCCTTGTTGATGTGCATGCCTTTGTGATTGACAGTTGGCGGTTCGCTGAATGATGTATTGACGGAAATGACCTATTTAAATTTATGTGCAGCTCTATTTCATTACTTTGCCTATAGAATGGTAACGTAATCACTGGAACTTGATTAATAGGCATTATATATGTGGGCGCTCAAAATGCGGGGTGTTCAACAGAAGTGGTTGAAAGAGACTGAGAGTCAGCAGAAAGTTAAATTATAAATTTTAATAGCTTAACCAATAATTTGTCCTTTTAAATGTATTTTATAAATAAGAAATGAAAATAAATTAGTTAGTTAGTAGAACTTTCTGCTGTTTCTGAATACTTGCTAAGAAATCATATTTATCTACGAGTATATCTTATTAAGAAATTAAATTGCGTCAAATAATGCGCCCACATAAAGGTCAGCTTTTCACAATAGTTATATTCCAAAAGTTTTTTTTTTTTTGTTTACGTTTTTTAACAAGCTGTTCAGCAAGAATATAGTGTCAAGATAGACTTAGGTATTTATTTTTGTACAATGGGTATCATTGTTTTTAACACCAAAGGCAGCTAAACTCATTGAAAACGGTTTCAATATAGTCTGAACAATTTTTAGACAGACAAACATTTTTCCCCATGACCAACCATGTATCTCTTGATTAGAAACGTATTAAGCTGAGTTTTCTCTAATCCCAGCTTCTCTTCTTTTATCTAACGGTTAGCTAGCGGGAAAGTTCGAGGACTTCTTTAAAAAGTATTCGTAAAAATTTTAACCAAACTTTAATGCGTGCTAAGACCGATTTGATACTATCTGGTAGTATTACTAAGTAATACTGTCGTATTTGAAGAGCAGAAAATCTACTCAAAATTCATGAACCTTCTTTACAAAACCAAAAAGTTTGTCGGGTCAAAAAAATAACGTTTCCAGTTTCCTTAAGTAAGTAAACTCTAATTATTTTTTTACCGCAAAATTAATTTTAGTGTTGAAAATATTTTTTCTTCTTTAATATCTTAGGACTCTATAAAGTATATACTATATTAATGACTCTGCCCATCTGTATGTTTGTAATTACGCAAATTAGTCTCGCAGTTTCTGAGTTATCGATCTTAAATTTTGCGCGCGTCCGAAAGAATCTGCTTATTTGTCAGAATCGAACCACTATAGAATATAGCTGCCATACAAACTTAATGATTGAAATCATGCTCTTGTATTGAAAAGTTGTTTATTCAACAAGGTATCTTAACGAAAATTAGTAGCGATTATTGTGTAAGGGAGCGCTATAATTTCCGAACAAATTGTTCAGATCGAAACACTATAGCATATAGCTGCCGTGCACACTGATGAATCAAAATCAAGATAAAGATCTTCATATAAAATCTTTTTTTTAGTAAGTAACCTTAATACGACTTGAGGGTTATTTATATCAAAAAACAACGCAGCGAGCAAGAACTACCAAAATGTTTTCTGCTAGAGTTTTCCGTAAGTTGGTTAAGTTTTCAGATTTAGTTATACATATAACACGTAGAAGAAATGCACAGTTGAAGTATTGTATATTATGGCTTCGGTGCAGTCGAAGTTACCACTTATTCTTATTTTTAGTTCTCTTTAAATCTTGAATTTTTGAAACAGAACAAAAACAAATTTAAATGCCACGTCACATGTTAATAAATTTAATTAACACGTGTAATATATAGCCATAAATATCCTTTGGACCTTCTACCGCATATTTTGAAATATTGTTGCTTGTAAAATATAAGTCAAATATTTTGCTATAATTTATTTGTAGTCACACATATGCTGCTTAAGTGTGAGTCTTCGAAGTTTATAAGTTAATCACAGAGTGCAAATCCATTAAGGACAACGTCCGCCTACCACTTTCCACGCCTCTGCCACCGCTAGCATTTTGCTAAATCATTTAGCCTCAAGTCATATATCTTTCGTGGAGTTTGCAGCAATATTGGCCTGCTCAAAAAGTAATAAATTCTCGCACTCGGACAAATAGCATGTCCAGTGCTGTGTCCTTGCACACACACACACAGACACACTCACGCACGCATACATACAAAGACGCTCCCAAACACAAACAAGTGGGCAAATAAACATGCAAATAAATGTATGTAAACATGCTGGTGCATATGGAAGAGTTTATATGTATATGTGTTTTGTATATATGTATATGTGTGTGTCTGTGTGGGCGCGTGCGTGCGTTGATGTGCGTTTTTGAGAAGAAGCATGTGATGTGAGGAAATGCATAAAGTAGATACATTAAAGTTGACTTTTGCAGCTGCTGGGCATTAAACCGAAAACGAAAGCAAACGAAAACCACAACAACAACAGCAATACCAGCAAAACATGATAATTCCACACAAAAATCTTACGGGTCAGTTAAGAACTTGAAAGGAAACCGCAACATGGCTAAGAATACAGGACGTACCCGAGACCATTTTATGTACATTGTCTAGTCTTCCAGAAAAACTTAACTCATTTCAGTTGACTGCTTTGGCATTACTATTACTCCTTGCCTTTTA